TGTGGATTTACACGAGCGCAGTGGATGCGCTCGTGTAAATCCACGCGAGCAAGCAAAAATCGGACTTTTTAAAAAAAGAAAATTTATAAAAAAAAAAAAAAAAAAAATCAAACGCTCGTGTGAATTTACACGAGCGCAGTGGATGCGCTCGTGTAAATTCACACGAGCGTGGCTAAGATCGATTTTTTTCGTTTTTTTTTCGGATTCGTAATCTACATAACAAGAGGATCGTAAAAACGTAAAAATTACCTCCGATCTGTTGACGATTTGCACGGGTTTTGCGAAAGAAAATCGAAAGGGTAGAGAGAGTTTTTGAGTTTTTTACTTTTTGTTTTTTGAAGAATGGTAAAAAATGTGTCTGACTGTTTAATTTTAGCCTGCACAAATCATTTCAGTATATATATATATATAAAAGGACTTTTTCAACTGCCCAAAAGAAAAGAAAAGCAAAATGAAAAAAAAAAAGAAGAAGAAGGAAACCTTTTCTCTCATCTCAACCGTTGATCAATGGGAAAGGAAAGGCCTCTTCAGGTTTGGCTTATTGGGCTTTGTTCTGTATTTTTTTAATTTTGTCAATTTGGGTCCAACAGACTAAAATTGCCTAATATAACATTATGGAAAAAAAATACCATTATAATAATAAAAAAAGTAATATATATACATATATATATATATATAAATAAAAAATATAAAAAAAAGATTTTTATCTTATATATAAAACGAAGATATTTTGACCTATAACCCTAAACCTAAATCTAGGGGTAATTTTGTCAATAACTATATCAACAGTTTTTTCTCTTTGTTCTCTGCCAATACGGCCATACCTTTTACCCGCATATCCGGTCAGTTATTTTGGAGCAGTTTTCCAGAACGTTTTCCTACAACTTCCCCACAATCCGACGTAATCCTCCACTACATACCGAATGAAATGCCATAAAAACAAACGAACGTAGAGCTCCAGCCTAATATCCATGACGGGTGTCTTCGTCGCCATCTGTAATCTCTTGCTGCAGATCCTTCGACGGCTGACTCTGGAAAACCCTAACCGTAAAATCTCTCTCACTCTCATACATTTCAGTCGATACATCTTTTGATATTATTCTTTTTGTGATGTTGCTGCTATTTTCTAATGATTCAATTTTTTGAATTTTGGACCCCAAAATATTACGCCTTTCGCCGGCCCATTAATTTTTTACAATTTTCCTTTCTCATGAACTTTTTGGATTTTGCCCCTTCTTGGATTGTTTTTAGTGTCTGTTTGGTTATATTGTGGAGCAAAATATGAGGTCTTAAGGCTACAACATTTGTATTCACACCTATCGGACTCCAGGTTTTTTTCCCTCGAAAAATATTCGAAGGTTGGTATCTATTATGAATTTTGTTAGTTTGATTTCTACGTGTTTGTTTACACTTTGGAAAGTATCTGAAAATATACGACGATGTGATTATCTTCAATTAATTTCTCTTTGTTGTCCTCAAATGTTGTTTCACAATGAATTAGAAGCTCATTGGCTTACTAGATGTTTTTGCAGTCAAAGAAATCATGTTGATTATATTGGTAAATAACATATTCTATTGCTTGATTTTCTTTTTCAAATAGTGGTATTTCACATTTTTTTATTATCTCAAGCAGTATATATATATATATATATATATATATATATATATATATATTGCCTTTTTTTGTTGCAAACGAAGTTCACCCGTGATGGTTTATCATGGAACTTCGAATGAATTTTTTCCTGTGTTGATTTTGCAACTTCGAATGTGTATTCGGGATTGCGAACTTATATAGCAACGTTTTTCATTATTTGTTGAAATCATCTTCCCCAAATTATTTTTGATATTTTGTACTTTCATGCTCATTTTAATTGCAAAACAAGTTCATTCGTGATGCTTTATTTGGGATTTCGACTCCGTTTATTCCCTGAATTGATTTTGCAACTTCAAATTTGTATCTGCGCATAAATATTCAGTTGTTTTATGTATTATTTAATTTAAAAAAAAAGACATAAAGCAGACATGTATACATGAACTTATGATATGAGATTCCTAACTTTTCCCAACCTGATTTCGAGTGTTTTCCTTGGGAGTATCGTCTCTTCACTAGCAATCTAAGCGACAATGCCAGCGAATATGTGATCCTCTTCTACCAAAGGCATTGTAGAGCTTTTATAAATAGAAAACAACTTCAGTTAAACTTTATCCCAAGGGTCATCTCCTTCACATGTAGTGATTATTGTTGTTGTGAAAATTTATAAATGTTATGTGAAATTTTTACATTCTTTTATGTAATTGTAATGAAAACATAAATATTGTTTTACGCAGTGAATGCCAGCTCATGACCTGAATAGCTATTTGAGGTTGTTGAGGGACCAAGAATTCAGAACATGAGATTGTGATAAGTTCTTCTTCCACATGACTAGAGCATTTGTTTTTTTCTCGCTGAAGCTGATTGATGCCTTCAAAGGAACAAGAAAGTTAGCAAGAAAATATGAATAAATAAAGGTGAAGCTATATGGGATGTGTTCGTGCTGGCTTTGGTCTACGGTACTGCAATATGTATATATATATAATTTGTCTAAATATTTCCTAAAAATAAAACCAGTGTATCAGTGTGACATTTTCTATACTGCCGATAGAGAAAATAATCGCACCGATGAGGAAGAATTCCCATGGTAGTAATGGAATAAATTACTTTCCAAAAAAATTGGTCTAAATGTTTATAATTTGTGTATTTCTTATTTATTAAAGTCTCTGTTTTTATACTTCTAAGTTCTAGCCATTGCGTTCCTTTTTTTTTTTTTTTTTAATCACAATAGCATGTACTTGGAAGAAGTTGCAGATGATTTAATAATTGTAACAGATTTTCTCTTAGACTTGCACAATTCTTCATCTCACAAAAGATCTTATCCGAAATATGTTATGCGTACGAATTTAGAGCAGTTGACTTCTCATGGTGTATTATTGAAAGTGGTGTTGTGTTTAAATTTCAATATTTTTGGATGAACATTTTAAAGAGAAAATATTTTTTTGAGTTGTATTTCAATTTCTATTCCTTTTTTATGAACAGTTCAAGAGAAAATATTTCTCCAAGTTGTGTTTAAATTTCAATGTTTTTTAATGAGCAGTTTAAGGGAAAATATTTTTTCGAGTTAAGACAATGACTATGTCTCATTCTTTACTTAATGAACTGAGCATTGTGTTCAAAATTCATAATTTAAAACATATTTTGTATTTTAATGGATAAATAGGGCAATGAACGATTCTTCTTGGTTGTAGGCGGAAACGAACAATTGTTGGTCATATTTTATCAATGACCGTAGCTTGAGGAACCTCTTATTTCTATAAATCTACTACTATGTTAATTATTAATGCAAGAGTACAAATTTTGCCAAAATTAAATTGTGAGACGGTCTTTCTTTGGCTCTTCTCAGATCTACTACACTTTTTTGTACACTCTGTCACAACTTCTCCAAATATGAATCTTGACTCTTGAGGATTCTGAAACAACGAAGATATGACAAGTGACGATATCTTGGACTTCGACAAGTTGTGGAACCTTAGGTTTGATTGTTCAATCGTGTGGCGTTATTTATTCTCAATTATTTAATTTCGTTTATTTTGTAATACCCCGTGCAACGCACGGGTATAGTTACTAGTTAAAATAAAAAAAAAGATAAGTGAAAGTGATAAATGTAGGTCCAAAAATGCTAGATGCACTTGGTGGAAATGTTGAATGCAGTTGGGCAAAAATTGCACATAAGGGCACAATAGTATTTTTGCCTCTCCAACTCCAACTCCAACTCCAACTCCAACTCCCTATATATTTTCCATATTAGGGGTGTATATCAAATGACCCTTATTTTATTTTAATTGTTATATTTTGCTTCGTTTAAATTTTATTCAATTTTACCATATGCTGAAATGTTTTATATAAGATTAATTGAGTCCACTGAGATGCTGATGGGGCTTCCATGTTAAGAAGATACCTTTAGGGCTCCTCCCACATTTAATTTTGTTTCCATGGCCCAACAACTTAACCCCAACATTTTTATTAAAATTCCAAAATTGTAATTATATATATATATATATATATATATATATATATATATATATCAATTTCTAATTTGATATTAGTTTTTGAAAATTAAAATTCATAATTTAATTTTCAAAAAAAAATGACATTAACAATATTATTGTTTTTTTAAATTATCTCGATATTGACCAAATTATTTCCAAAAAATTATGATTTTGTAAGAATAAAAAAAATAAAAAAATGTTTTATAGTTTGTACTCATTTTGCGTAAAAATGCAGTTTTTGATGCACTACAATCTGATATTTATAAGTCAAGAGGCACATCTTAAGATCATCTTGTTTGAAAATATATATTGAGCTCGAATGGAGTAAAACGAGTATAAATTGGAAGATATTCCACATAATATTAAAGATTCCACTAAATTTGACACCGCAAGAATGGACGTGTAAGAAAATTCATAATTGATGGAGGTGATTGTAATTACCCAAATTCATAATAGAAGGGTAGCCGTAATTTACCCTTCTACTGAATTATGTTGCCTTTAATTTACCCTTTTACTGTATTCCGTGCCTTTAATAAAATGTTCAGATTAATAATGCTAATTAATAGTAATATTTACAAAAGCCAGCAAAAACTTCACAATTAAAAAAAACACACACACACAC